TTTTTTTTTTTTTGTGTGTGTTATTGTTTCGTAATTTATACCAAAATTTTTTTTTCTTTCTGTTTTTTCTTTTATATGCCTCTTTTCTGTTCTGATATTGATAGTTTTTCGTTGCAGTAAACTATATATTTTGCTTAGTTATCTTCGTTAAATTAATTCATTTTTATTCCGTTTTTAGAATGAGTTTTTTCCGTGTCTTCAATTCTTCTCTTATATTCCTTTGTATAACATATTTGTTCTCCTTGTGGTCATCTATGATCTTGCGAGGGAATTAAACTTATGATATTAGCGTTGTAAGTTCGTCGATTTTCTGTTAATGTTATGTAATAGTATTATTTTATTAGCTTCATATTTTAATTCTTGAAACATTTTTTAAAGTCTGATTGATTGTTATTTTTAAGTTTTTTTTTATTTGAAGGTAATTTATTTATTATAAAAAAATGATCGAAAATTCTTACTTCTTCGTTTCTGCAGGCTTTTCTGTAGACTAGACTAATTTAGTGATTAGATGTAGTATTTGTTTCTTGGTTGTTGAAGGATTACGTTTATATTATTTTTCCCTGGTGGTAGATTTTTGTGCAGAAATTTATTTGTGTAATTGTTTTAATAGCCTGTGGTTTTATATCTCTTTTTATTTCCTCATTTATTACTATATTTATTTTAGTATTATAACTTTTTCGTGTGTGTGTGTTTTGATGTGTTTTAAGCTTACTCGTTGTAACGTCTAATGATCGAGGTCAGGAACATGACAATACAAACCGCCAAAATATTGTTTCGTTCAATGCTGCCACGTTGAAGGCTAAATATTCCATTTTATTCTATTTCTAGTGATAAACAGTAAAGAAGGTATATGTTAAATTTAACATGTCAGTTCATAAGCATGCGTGCTTACCAAAAGATTTTATTTTTAAGGTGCTGGAAAGTTTTACAACTTTTGTTTTTCTTGCAAATATTTCGTAATTTCAAGTATATCTGAACTTGTGTGGAAAAAAATTGCTAAAGTTGTACTAAATTGTTTGTCTAAATATTTATTTATGTTAGCCAAAATTTACTAGACATTTTTGCATAATTATATCTTAATTGAATATCCATCTACATTCATTAGTTGAAGAATATTCTTGTGATTATGAATCCATTCTTCTGTAGTATTAACCATTAGCATTACCATACCATATTTGCCAGTGTATTGGACAATAATATTTACTCTCAAAACAGTGCCTGATTTTACCCCTTGTCTAATACACAGGTTCGAATATAGTTTTAGTAAGAACTCTCCGGTTAATAGCATATTTAACCAAAGCTACATTGTTGCTTTTACATTTGTTTGATTTTCTTAGTATGTGGACATCATACCACCTACTGCATTACAATAACATATTTGTAATTGTATCATTTGTATTGATTCTTCATAACTAGAAGTTATTTACCTTACATTCTAATCACAATTAATCAAGACATTTTAATTTGAAATGTATTTATCTCATCCATTATACTAAAATATTGCTAATATTATACAAAAAAGGTCAGTTTCTGTAACATACACTAATTTTGTAAATATGTTTTTTATAGTAGATCATTATATCGTAAGGTTTAGTATTTTTTGTAATAGAAAAGGAGTTCAACTGTGATGAATACTTTGTAAAGTTGTTTATTACATGTTTGTAACTTTAGTTATGCTGCATTGAGCTTTTTTGTAGCATTTGAAGAGCATAAAAAAACCACAGTTGTGGTTGTATTGATTACCCCCAGAGTGCACAGTTTAAAAATAATTTCAAAGAATTTCCTTACAAAAGTAACATCCTAGACTTGCTTGACAATAGAGGCCATCCTATACACCGAACCTCAAAGAAATACACTGAACAATTTGCTGAAAAAATCCAGGGTCATCTTATACACTGGTAAGTACAGTATTTAGTTTATTGTGCTTGATACTATGTTAGAAATTCTAATAGAATTATAGCCTGTGATGACAAATCTCTGCGCAAAATTTAAGTTCTCCTAGGATGAGCTCCAGCTATTAAGAAAAGCTGTTGAGCTAAGGGGTTCTTTGTTAAAAAAACATTCTGAGGCTAAAATGTAGTAGCAATTTTGTATCTGTAGTTATCTTTAACAAGAGTAGCAAACTACCAAGTTGGCAGTAGAAGGGTTAGCAGTACTATGATCCCTTATTTTCTTGCTAGAATAAATAGCAAAAATGACATTTTATTGAAACAAATGTTTAAAAGATGTAAAAAAATTATCACCAGAAACTTAACTACTTTTAATTCAAATGAAATAAATAAAAAAACATGAAATGAAAAAATAAAACTGTTCCACATAGTATGTAACATTTGTGCATGCTAAGTTAACAAATGTTTAAAAATTTAAGGAAATTTTTCAGAAGTTATTTATCATTTTGTTACTTTATTGTGAATAAAAAAAAATGTTTGGCTGTTTGAGATTAAGTGATACTTTGTATATTTATGAAAATTTATTTTTGATAAAAGAGTTATCACAAAGGATCACATATAAAGTGTAATAGACTTAAAATAAGACCCAAAACTTGAACACTCTTGAATAGTTGACTATTCTTCTTCAGGAGAACAAAGAAGATGAATAGTCAACTATTCGAAAGTGAGGAGTTTGGAGTCTTATTTTAAGTTTATGAAAATTCATTGATATTTTTATGAAATATATTTGACTTTAAGGGCTTATTAAACACAACTTTAACATAAAGTATTGAAATCAAGGTCCAGCCCAAAACAGTATTGATTGTATTGCTTTGTTTTGTAAATTGGAGTTGTTACCATGACATTTGTGTGTTAGATATATTGAAGTACCAAAAACTTTAATAAATTTCATTTTCAATAATAAAAGTATATTTATAGTTGTTAAATTTATTAAAGACTAATTTAGAAATCTGATATTTACTGCAAAACAAAAGAAAAATTAGCATAAAACACATTGTTTTGTATGAAGGCACTTACTATTTGTTTGTTGTTATTTTTAGATAAGAGCCAGTGGATAGCTCTAGGCACCTGGAGCAATGACAGTGGTTGCAGCCTTACCTTTTTAAGTTTAGAAATTTTGACATTTAATTTGAGGTTGTCAGATTAAGAAGGCTATGATAGGATAATTAATGATTTTTTAAAACTAGTTTTCTTTATTCGACTGCTAGATGCAGCCCAAATTAATTTTGAGATGACATTTACCACCATCATGTTTTATCAAGTCATTTCATTAGGTTATGGATATTGAGAACAGACATTAAATGAGGTGTAATGTCTGGTTGTACTTGCTAATTCTTTCACTTAATAAGAATCCATAAAAAAAAAAGATTGGTTACATTGATGAGATATGTAAATTACTTTAAGTTAACTTGTTTGATTACACTAAGCGTAGTCAAATTTTTTAAATGATAATGTATCATTTCATATCTGTTTAAATCTTTTAATATATTAATTTTCATGTTCTTCAGAATTTTTCTAAAGCATTTTATTTTCAAACTTAGGAGGTCTGATAAAGAATTAGTACATGTTTTTGTTCACTTCGGGAATAATGTGTAGCACGGAAAATATCTTTCTTGTTTAGCTCTAAGATTTGCCAAAGTGGAGAGAGAGAAAAAACAATTTCAAGGTCAATATGAATTAAGTATTGTAAGTTTTGTTCATTTTAGTGACTTTTGAAGAGAGGTGAATGATAGAGAACCAAATTCTAGATCTTGAGTTTGTAGTTGTCATTTTAGGAATGGTGTTGAAGAGTGAAGTCCAGAAATATTTAAGAGAAATACAATAATCTCTTCAAGTGAATAATGGCCCAAAGAAAATCTAAAGGAGAAATAAAGAGAGAATCAGCTAGAGAAAGAGGAAAGTTAGATAATTAACTAAACTAAAAATATTACCCTATAGTTTGAATTGGAAAGTGCTAAATGCCAATTAAAAAATGTGAGGAAAGAGAAGAGTATGAAAGAAGTCATTCAGTTTTTTCATTGATAACAAAAGTTTATGTATGAAAAGTGGACTTCCAAATAAACATATTAAATTTAGTTGTTAGTTTTGTAAAAATATTAGAAGGAAATATATTTTTATGACTTGTGGTAGATCTTCTTTTACTAGAAGATCAGATTATTATAACTAAAGAAGCTCAAACAAACTATTCTAATTTTAATCTTGCCCAGATGAATGAGAAATATTCTCTGTAAAGGTGTAGGTTTAATGCAGGAGAACTATACAAGTTTTCTGTGTATGCCTAAATCATTTTCTTGGTGATTACAATATGGTCATTGATTGAATTTTCATTAAAATATGTACTCCATGTCTCAGGAATGAACAAAAGCTCATCTACTTTTTATACAGTGGAATGAACACACAAAGCACTTCTTGGAGTTGCTTCAAATGCTACTATCACATTGATCAGTGATATCTTTCTTAGCTCAGTGTCAGACAAACCAACAGTGTATAATATTGCTGGTGATTTCATTCTTGACGAGAGCTTTTTAATTCAAGACATTGTTCCACCTGTAGAACCATGAGCATACCTCTTTTTTTATTAGTCATGAAAAATTTGAAAGTTAAGTTGATACAGAGTATTGTTAAATTTCAAGATCCTTAACTTTATTGCTATTCTGATATTGTTTATAAACTATGGATATCATGTTATACTCCAGTATTTCTCTATTAGACTATCTTTAAATTTTCTCTTTACTGACCCTACCCTATGAGGTGTGGATGGTTATGTAAGTAGGTATAAAACATTTTTTTTTAGCGTCGCAGAAGGGTAATTTCCATGTTTAGTGAATTAGACTTAGTAGTGTTTAACAGAAGAATCCAGAGGAGAGGCCATTCATCAGTCATTGCTTCATGATTTGATCCAATAGTGACAGACAAAAATAATCAATGTAAATGATAGTTGTGTAAGTTATTCTGTTACAAAAGAGGACCATGTTATGGGATTTCAGTCACAGAGGTGATGCAAATTTTGAAAAATAACGAAAATAAATCAAACTTTAGGAATGATGCTTTTGTTTAACATGTGTAACATTTGAACTCGTAAAGTCACACAGTTGGGTTTTGTTTTGAAACTGTCTTCTCACTTAATGAACAAAGATTGACAGAATAACTCTGAATTTCCTAAGTAGTTTTTAGTCTCTTTCAGCTCTAGTACAATGAGCACAAATGTCCATTTGGGTTTTGTCTCCTTCAAATGTACCTGGAAGGTAACATTCAATACTTCTGTTGAATTTGAGGACAATCTTGAGTGCATATTTACATTTCAAGCAGAGTAAATCTCTGCAGATTGTATCTGGGGAAATTGCAACATCTGTTTGATCTAGAATGCATTCTTCATCTGAATTGTGTCAAACTATATATATCCTCAACACATTTGCAACCATTGTTTCTTCCAGTTTTCTCCTCTTAAAAAAACTACAGATGTTCAAATGTGGCATCTATTCTCACTCCAGTTGATGTCAAAGTCAGATGTTTTTATGAATGGCACTTACTAAGTGAAAACATGCAAGCACAGTGTTGACCAGGAAAAAAAAAACTGAGAATGAACAGCTATATTTAATCCAAAAATTGGCCGAATAAAAATAAGGATAGACATGTCATAATTTTTAGTCACCGAATTTCCTGAATCAGTTAGTAAAGGGGAAACTATTTTATTTTCTCTTACAAAGAGGTTAGGAGAAGTATAAACATTAAACTAAAGAAAAAAAAAAATTGATAAAGTTTACAATGATGACAATTCATTAAAAATAAGAACTCAATTACAGAAAAGTGAAAAACTGTTTATTTCAAACTTGTACTATACTTCAAAGATTTTGTTGTAAAGATATAGCAAAGTTAAATAATATACAAGTAAAAATACTTATTACCATTATTATTCCATTTTACACTAGTTTTTATTAAAAAGTACGGAAAAGAAAATTTGATTTGTCTTTTTTTTTTTTCTTGTTCTTTTAGATTGTTTCAGTTACACTAATTAGATGAAAGAGAATGTTCATTAATTGTTTCTAAGCAACTGATACTTTTCTTGCAAACTGAAATTGTTTGTAGTTTCTGAATCCACTTCCACCTATTGTGTATAACTGAAATATAAAAAAAATACATTTGTTCCCCTGTTTACATTTTATTAACATAAATAATAAAAAGTAACTTTCTGTGCAACTAAAAAGTTAAGTAATTATATAAAATGATGGTGGCAAATTAGAAGACCCAACTGGACTTAAAATATAATTTTTCACATTATTTTAATTCTTCAAGGTGTTTTGGAAGAAAGATTGGCTTAAGATAATTAATTGTACTTTAAATTGTTTTTACATATAGAACAGGGGTACAGGCATCCTGAGAAGACCCATGTGTTCAAAACTATTATATCTACAAGTTTGTAAAATGATTCAAGGAAATGGTTACAAATATTTTTGCATGAGAAAAAGTTTAATTTGAAAATATATCAAAAATTGTTTATTAAAAATTACATTTTAGAGACAGGCAATTGAAGAAAACTAATATGTTGTGCATACAATCTTGAAAACTATTAAATTCCATCTTCAGCTGACTGATATTATGTGGATTGAATAAAATGCACATAGTTGATTAAGACTGATCACCCAAGTCGGGTTCACATGAGTTTTGAAAAACTGTGGAAGCAATTTCCAGGGCCTGGAAAGTTTTGGAAAACTGAATTTTCGTCCAGGGTTTTGAAAATATTATGGAAAATGAAACTTTTCTCTTGTCCGTAATATAAACCAGTGTTTTCCATAATTTGTTTACTTGATGATTACATTGTATAATTTCCAACAGCGATGATATTCAGAGTGAGCCAGCCATTCATGTTTTACCTTAGTGACAAGCATGCACGTAAGTGAATAGCAACTTGAATTACTTCAGCTGTACAAGGTTGAATGAGCCTGAAACCATCAATGTCCAAGTCTCGCTTAAGCAGTTATGTAACTGCTAATCATCCATTTTTTCTGTTCTCTGGTATTGACTTGAATGTGTACTTGTGTAAAACATGCCAGGCAAATGTATATTTAACAATGCATGGCTTCTAAAGGACAAGTATAAGGAATGGCTCATTAGGTGCACGTTGTGATGAAGCTTGTTGCAAAGTGTGCCATAAAAAGTTCAATGTTGGTAGTATGGGCAAATCCATGGTGATAGGCCACATAAAGGGTAAAAGCATGAGGATAACGTACATAAATATCACTCTTATTCATTCATTGATTCAAAACCTTTTTGCCACAGAGTGAAGACGTGCTTTCGCCATGCTCTCTTCTTTGACTAGTAGACTGCCCCCAACACCTCTGCTGATTTCTCCCTTGACTACCCACATTGCCAGATCACTAGCCGATTCAAACCTGATCCATCCACCGATCACACTAAAACCAGGATACTATGACAGGATGGAGTATTTCTTCAACTGTTAAACCGTGACACAATTATCTATGCAGCCTCAGGAACTCTAGTCCACGGGTCTTTTGCAACATTCGATGTAGCAACTCCACTCTATTCTCAGTGTTTGTAAGAGGTATTGATCCCTTAATAAACCACATTTATATTCAAACTGTTGTAGAGCAACAACTAGATATCAAACTACATGCAGTCCATAGAATACGATTTAATACAACCGAGAAGATGTCTCACTTCATCAAAGTAGTTACAGCATCACAACAAGTACGAGTTCTTATTGTGTGTTGTCAAACTCATTTTGATACTTCCACAATTTAATGTCTACACTACAAAAAAAATTGCTTGAACAATGCATCTACCATTACACTTTATTCCTGTACATATAACTTGACCAGCTCATATCTATCATTATTTAATGTTTTGATATAAAAATGCTTCTGTGATGCTTCATCATTTAAGGGCATTTTGACCTCTATAATTCTTTCATTATCAAAAAAGTCAACTGGCGAAGCATCAAGATTCCAAGAAGAGTCCAGCCATAGCACTGACTCTTGATGAGGCAACTTTGTTGCAGATGTGAAAGTTGCTAGTCTTA